ACAAACCACAACCCCAGAGAATCTAGACAACAATGAGGGCCCTAAAAGAGACTTACATAGATTTAATCTACATGAGAAGTAGAAAAAAACAAGATCTCCTGAGTAAATTGGGAGCATGGGGACCTTGGGAGAGGGTAGAAGGGGAGGGGAGAGGCAGGGAGGGGAGCAGAGAAAAATGCAGAGCTCAATAAAAATCAATTAAAGAAAAAAAAAGGAAAGAAACAGAGATAAGGTTGGTTTCATGCCAGGGATGCAAGTGTTTCAGAAAGACATACAAAGCAATCAACGTAAAACAGCAAATATCTACACTTAGTGAGAGAAGAAACATGACCATGTCAACATAACCATAAAAGGCCTCCACAAAATATCACATTTGCTCAGTATAAAAGCTCCCAAAACACAAACTTCAATACCACAAACACTAGAAGCCATAAGCCTACATCCAACATTACACTCAATGAGGAAAACTGCAATCATTCTACTCTAGTCAGGACAGAGACAAAGGTGTTTGCTCTTTCCACACCAACTCAACGCAGTGCATCAACTGTTATCCAGACCAAGAAGGAGAGAGAAAAACTTACAGTGGTCAATATAGGAAAGTCAAGGAGCTGGAGAGATGGCACCGCCTCCCCTTCCAGGGAACCTGGGTTCAATTCCAAGCACCCACATGGCACCTCACAACTGTCTGTAACTCCATTTCTAGGGAATCTGACACCCTCACACAGACATACATGCAGCCAACGAATAAATATCAAAATTAATCCTTATAAAAACCTGTAAAAATATAAGTGAATAGGAAATACCAATGCCTAGTGGGAGGCAAAATTTCAGTCTTCTATACAACAATCCAATAAGAGAAGCTTGTAGGGGTCACAAAGACTGAACCATCAACTAGAGTGTTTGCATGGAACTGACCTAATTCCTTTGCAGCCATGTTACAACTGGTTGTGTGGCTTGGTCTTCTTGTGGAATTCCTAATAGGGAGAACAGGGTCTGTCTGTGACTCTGTTGCCTGCTTTGGGGACCCATTCCTCTAACTAGTAGCCTCATCTAGCCTAAAAAGAAGTGGAAGTACCTAATCTCACTGCAACTACCTAATCTCACTGCAGCTTGATATACCATAGCTGAATGATATATATGGGAGGCCTGCCTTTTTTTTTTTTAAAGAGAAAGGAAGAGGAGTGGATGAGGGGGCAGAGAGGAAGAGGGAAATTTGAGGGGAAGGACTGGGAAGAAACAAGGTGAGGGGAAACAGTGATGAGGATGGGAAAAAATTAATTAAGATATAAAAAGAAAAGCTTTGTACTGTTGTTACTGCTACTTACATAAAACTAGATAGAATTTTTTTTGAAAAAAAAGGTTTTTGTAAATTGTTTTGTTTTGTTTTTCATTTTTTGAGACAGGATTTCTCTGTGTAACAATCCTGGCTATCTTGAAACCCTCTTTGTAGCCCAGGCTGGCCTCAAACTCACAGAGACCCACCTACTTCTACCTCTTGAGTGCTGTTATGAAGGGCGTGCACCACCATACCTGGTTCATATATATATATATATTTTCTAATGGGAAAAAAAAACAAAAAAGCCTAAACAAGCAAAAAAAGTGGTATGGGACAATTGTATTCTGTCAATTATATTTTATTTTATTTATTTATTTATTTGTCAATTATATTTTAAATAAACGCCAACTGGTCAGTAGCCAGGCAGGAAGTATAGGTGGGGACAACCAGACAGGAAGTAGAGGCGGGTCAATGAGAACAGGAGAATTATGGGAAGAAGGAAGTTCTTTCAGCAGTTGTGACCCAGCTACAGAAGAAGCAAGATGTGACTGTCTCGCTGAAGAAGGTACCAAGTCATGTGGCTAGCATAGACAAGAATAATGGGCTAATATAAGTTATAAAAGTTAATAAGAAGCCTGAGCTAATGGGCCATCAGTTCACAACTAATGCAGACCTCTGTTTGATTTCTTTGGGACTTAACAACTGTGGGAACCGGGCAGAACAAGGACTGGGCAGGACAGAAACCCTGACAACAAGAAGGACCTCTCCAGTGAACTCTTTAATTATTTGAAGGAACTGAATAAAATACTGGAAGATGGAAAGAATTTCCATACACACAGAATGGGACAGTACTGTGACAAGAACAATACCAATGAAAAAGGATAATATATTAACTCAAATTCCATGACAATCAAACTCCCCATGATACAGCACAGAGAGTCCTACAAATTTCCACAGTAGCACAGAGCTCCTGAGAGTACAGAGCAGCCCACAGGGCAGAGGTTTTGTTGTCCCAGCTTTGACTCTAGATGAGACTGCAGAGTCATATGACCAATAACACCATGGGAGTGGCAGAAGAACAGACACACAGCTCAATGCACTAGAGCAGCAGATGGAGAAATAGACCAACAGCAATGACCATGTCCATGTCACCAAAATACCAACGCTTTTTGCACAACCGGCAGCCTCATAAACCAATGGTGTTGAAAAAAGTATCTCTCCACACAGAAACTATGAGCCTGGATCCTAGTCTCTGCCACTGTACAATGAACCACAGCCTTCATGGATGACCTGGAACAGTGAAACCAGCACCGAAACAGAAAGTAGAAATATGTTCATATGTGGACGTCGGAAACGTGGCTCTGAACAGAACAGCACATCACCAGGACACAAAAGCACACAGGACTGTATGCAATATGAATGCATTTTCAGTATGCAAACTGTATGAAAACAGAATGCATTTCAGTTTTCAAATACAAAAAGCAATCAATGCAAACTGGAGGGAGAAAATAGACAGTGATACAGGGAAGCTCTGACATTCACTATCTACTGACTCATAAGAAAATCAGACAGAAAACCAATAATGCGTAGCAGGTATCCAGAAACGAAACCATGCAATAGTAGGAGATTCTCAGCTGAGTTCTCTAACTCCAAGAAATACTCTCCAGTGTGCTCAGGTCCTAGAATTACCAAAAAAAAAAAATTTTAAGAAAATTAGTAAATGTTTTAAAAGCCCCCTTCTCAAAGAATCTGAAACATAGAAATTAACAGCAGGTAGACAACAAAATACATTAAAAGACAACCGAATAGTGATTCATTGCTAGCATGTGCTCATTCAAACATGTAAAGACAGCGTAGGAGAGGTCTGGGTACTATAAAGATTCTAAGTAATTTGTACCCAAATCTTACAGGTATCTTTTTTTTTTTTTTTGGAGAAACAGAGAAAATGATCCTATAATGCACAGACTTCAAAAATTATGAAAGAAGGAGCAAACCTTGAGGTGATTTCAAAATATATTAAAATTATAGCGATACAAACTGTCGAGTACTGTCATGAAGACTGAAGACTGACAGCAGGGGATAGCAATGGGAAGTCATGTAGATACAGTTTAATACTCTAGAGAATAGTAAGGCATTCTTGTCAAATTCCTGCTGGCATTATATTAGAAATGGAGTAATTAGCCCTAAAAGATAGAGAACCGAAGAAAATGCAAAAAGCTCCAAAACTGTGAAGGAGGAAAAACCTAAAGGCACTGAGTGTCCTAATTAAGCAATACATTAAAACTAAAGAAATAAAAAACCATTTAATATTAGCATGAAGACACAATCAGCAATGTGAATGGAAGAGGGACAGCATCCCTTACAAGCAATGTCAAATAAAATAATTATTCTTAGTACTAATTCTTACAAAGAGATTCTTCTAAAATCTACAATAGGAATATCCTGGGATCTTTCTCATCCACGTATAGTGGACGTCTATAGAATCATTTCTAGTGAAACAATGTGGTAAAACCGATTATGTGTCCCACTTCCACGATTACTTGAACCCCTGGCCAAACTTTCCACCATACCTGGATCTTCTGCTACTGTTTCCTCTCCTTGTTCTCCTCCACAAGTAAGCAGGTCTGGCTGAGCCTTTTCCTCTAAGGATTTTACTTTACTCTGTGAGGTGTGAGACTCAAACACACACAGCTCACAAACATACAGAGTTATTTTTCTAGGAACCCTAAACAGGAGCAAGGGAAACCGCAAGCAAGCTGTTCTAGTCCACAGAAACCAGACTGCTGCAGTTCTGCAATACTCGGTATCAGTACAAAACCCTATGGGCAGGGTCCAGGCACTGTCCCCTCTTCCCGCTTCTCACTGCATGTAAACAACCCGTGAAGTAAAAGCCAACAGTTCGGCCACTTGTCAATGTTCATAGTGCTTTTTTTGCACAAGAAAAGACGCTTTCTAAATTTGTCCTTATATATTCTGTTTCCTAACCGTGAAAACGCATACCGCACATTTCTGGACTCTGAGGTTTGCCTTCAGACCTCAGCATAAGAACACATTATTCTATTTACATCAGTATGTATACACTTCAAACAGAACATAATGGTGAATATAAAGTTTTGTTAGTAAATGCTAAGGTTTATAATTATAACCGTGCAACTTTCAGTGGGGCGGTGGTGGTGCACGCCTTTAATTCCAGCACTCGGGAGGCAGGGGCAAGTGGATCTCTGTGAGTTCGAGGCCAGCCTGGTCTACAAGAGCCAGTTCCCGGCAGGACAGGCTCCAAAGAAACCCTGTCTCGAAAAAAACCAATATATATATGAATTAAAATCTGCAGTTATTCCTTAAGGGGCTGATAGCTACCAAGCTCTCTGGGGCCACCAAGACTCCAAGTTAAATGCTACTCTTTTGAAAGGGGAAGAGGTAGGTCAGAGGTGTTAGAAAGTGTTTGAATTTAAGTGCTAACAGTTTTGCATTTTTTTACACAACAGCAAAAAGGACCATGTTTGCAAACATCAACGTATAAATTCAATTGTTATATGTGAGAATACTCTATGAGAATATTTTGGAAACCGCAGAGCAATGATAAAATCAGCATTTGCCCCATTTCGTATGATCTCAAATTTATCTTCAAGGTAATACGCCTGCAACAAAACTGTGAAACAGTATCCTTATGACAAGCAGAAAAGCTCATCCAATTCCTATCAGCTTCCTTCGCAGCTCCTCTGACCTGGGAGGTTCCAGAGCCGCCGGGCTGCGGTTACCGCCACAGCGCTGCTGACTTTCCCAGGCCGCTCCGCGGCGACTGCGGCTCCCGGTCCCGGCGAGACTCCGGTTTGTGTTCGCCACCACTAGCAGAATACAACCCTTTCCCTGAGGTCCCTCTAAAAATGGAGGGTTTTCCGGCCCCTCCCGCCTGTGTTTCTTAGAGCCGCCCCCGAACCTGTCCATCATAAACAGGTTCCGGTTACGTACTCCTCTAGCCCGGTGGTCCACCCGTTGAGTTTTCCAGGCTTTCCAAGCTTGTTTTCTCTTAGGCATCACTCCTCTGATATAGACTATTGTCCCTGCTCCTTGGAGACCCGCCCCTCCCACTGGGCCTCAGGCCGCCTTCCACACAGCTCCAGCTGTCAGGCTGCCCTGAACTTGTTCTGCACAGCCTTGCTGCCGGCCTAGACTAGAACTGGATCTAGGAGGACGCTGCATCCCGGTATCTGACCCCATAGTGAGTTCTGAACCATTCAGATAAAAGATAGGAAGCCTAACTTTGACTTGACTACCAACCTCCTGGACTACATACACACACCAAAAAATAACAGGCTAAATTCAGATGCCAGTGTCCAATTCATAACACAAATATGACAAGCCAAAACCAAATACTGTAATTGAGTTTGGGGAGAGACAGTTCATGACCTTGGATTTTGAAAAGAAATGGGTGTCTCAAAGTCAGTGGTCAGCCCATTGCAGTAGTGGCAGTCATGCCTTCATGTAACAAAACAGCTCTCTAATTGTTTAAGACCCTCTTAACAAAAGGGAAACCATGACAGATGCTACCTACTGGTGCTGGTGAAGACGTGAATCTTGGAGGAAAACTACAACCACCACTATACTAAACCAGTATAATCCCTAAGAAGAATCTAAACATTTTTCCTTGTACCCAGAAATAAGCAAGGTCTTTACCCCTCATCAAGAAAATTTCTCTTTGCAACAGAGATCACTACAAAAAACACCAACAACTAATCAGATATAGAGTTGTAGAGGTCAGACTCAAGGAATTTCATCTACAAAACACTCCTGTACCTAAGACTAAAGAAAAAAAATTGAGGAGGGGATAGAAAGATTGTAAGAGTCAGAGTGGATCAGGGAGTATGCTGTGAGGTTTGTGTTTTCTAGTAAGGCCAGAGGCTAGTCCCATAAAATCTCACCAACACGAGCGGAACAAGGACAACAATGGACATGCCAAAGTGGCTAGGGAAAAGTCCACAAGGCCTCAACACTACACGCAGAACTAAAGGCAACTGGGAAATGCTGGGAGCAGGAAAAATAGTCTCCCCAAAGAACACACAATTGGTTACACAATACCAAATGATCAGCCTTGAAAACATACATACAAGTAATATGATATAGACAGAATAGGTTATATTGAGAAATATATATGTATATACATGGATATATCAATATGCAGTAACAATTAATGAAAAAAGAGGCCATAAATTTGAAAAAGATCAGGGAGTTATATGGGAGGATTTGTGAGAGGAAAAAGAAAGATGAAATAATATAATGTATATTATAGTATAGTATGTATATTATATATAGTATAGCATATATAGTATAATGTATACTATAGTATACTAGAGTATAATGTATAAATAGTATAATTTAATAACCTCAAAATTAAAACAGTAAAAACAAAAATAAAATCAACAACAAACCCAAACTTAAGAAAAGCGGTTATAAACCTATCAGAAAAATGCAGACTAGGACTCCTTTAGCTTTTATTTTAAATTTATTTATTATGTATACAACATTCCTTCCATGTATGCTTGCATGCCAGAAGAGGGCACCCAATCTCATTTAGATGGCTGTGAGCCACCATGTGGTTGCTGGGAATTGAACTCAGGACCTCTGGAAGAACAGTCAGTGCTCTTAACCTCTGAGTCATCTCTCCAGCCCCTCCTTTAGCTTTTCATCTCACCCTAGTTACAAGCGCCATCATCAGGAACAGAAATGATAACCAATGTTTGCATAAATGTGGGGAAAGGAGGTCATACACTGCTGTGGAAGTGAAAAGTAGAGAGGGAACTTTCGTATATTCATCTAGATAGTCTCAAAAAAGAAAATTACTGTGTGACCCCCAATTACGGAACAGTTATGTGACTCGATTCCTGTGAAAACAATGACAAACATCTACTTATCATAGATAAGGAACCACTGACGAACCAAAATTGGGAAACCAACAATTTGGTGAACCAATGAGGCTTTTTTTAGAGAGGTGTTTTATCTGTATGTATGTTTGTGCATCAGAGGTGCCGGCAGAGGCCAGAAGAGGGCACTGGATGCCTTTGAATTGAGGTAACAGATTGAGTGTCATGTGAGGGTGCTGGGAATTCAAAGTGAGTCTTCTTAAAGAGCAGACAGTGCTCTTAACCACTTAACCACTGAGTCATCCTGGAGTCCAGAGGATCCCTGAGTTCTTTAGAGGTGAGACTTTTGAAGGTCGATGGGGCAGTCAGTCCCATGAGGAACAGTGGCGGGTGAGAAGAGATGGATAGACACCATGCAGAGAAAGTGGGTATAGTTCATTTAATGGGTTATGGAAGGGAAGAAGTGGGAGAGAGAGGGATAAAGCAGAAGTTATCTCTTCGTGAGAGACGGAATGAGAGAGAGAGCGAGCACAGGCTAGGGGAGGCAGGATATCTGCTTCCCGCGATGGAAAAGGAGGGGTTGGGAGAGGGCAGAGCTTGTTCTTTAAAGGACAGACCAGGCCAGCAGATAATAACTAATGGGACATTGAATAATGTTTTCTAAGTGTTTAACTGGGAATGGGGTAGGAAGAAAGGAGTGGATGGGTCAACCAAAAGTAAGGATGTATGAAGAAGTCTTATGAAGTCCCATTATCTTACAAGTTAATATTAAACATGATTTTAAAATCTTTGGAGGTGTCCCACAAGGGTAAATAATGCTGCTCCCAGACACCAGGTATATTAAATCGAACTCTCTGTACCAGGTAAGAGTCATCTGCCTAGGACTTATTAGACAGGTGACCCTATAGTCACCCCAAACAAAACAGGTCACTGCAAGTACTCTTGCTTGGCCACCATAAGTACATGGTGTTGCTGAGGGTTCCAAATACTTGGGTTGCAAGATAGATCTTAAACTTACCAGGAGAGTCTCATAGGACTGTAAAGAAAAAGTTGGCAATGGTCTTATCTACTCCTGTACCCTACATTCTACAAACAAACCTACTAGCCAACATGTGTGCACTGGTGCAACCCTGGCACGACTGCTTATGTGAATAAGTAACCTCTCTCCTGATTGGATTTGAGGTCTGCTCCACAGAGGGAATTCATGCAGAGTACTGTAAACATGGCTAAAAACCATGGCTTGGGAATTAAAGGTCCAAAGACAGAATCTACTGATGTTTTCTTGATGATCACATTGTTATTATGCAATCTAAATATTCATGTTTATAATTACAATTTTTTACTACTCTCAACCTTGGAGAAAGAAGTGTACTCTTGTAGTTCATAGTGGGTAATAAAGTATTGCCAATAAGCAACTGTGTAAGATTGAATATCTGCCAATTCATCATGGCTGAGGGAGTCTTCCAAGAGTCTCCTTTCCCTCTTAAGGGTCCACTGGTGGTTAATGGAAGCTCTATCATTTTGTTTCTAGTTTGAAGTAAATACTTCCACATATTTTTGTACCTCCAGAGTGCAGGTATTGAATGTGTAAACCACCATACCTGGCATTATTATGAACTTTTAGATGTTGAACAAGATAAATGTTTTATTACAGCTTTTTCCAGGGGCTGAAGAGATGGCTTAGTGGTTACTAGCACTGGCTTCCCTTCTAGAGGACAGGTGGTCAATTCCCAACACACATGAAGTGTCATACAATTGTCTGCAACTACAGCATCAGGGAATCTGATGCCCTCTTCTGACCTCCACAAGTACCAGGCAAGCATGGACAGTATACAAGCAGGCAAAGGAAGCATATATAGTAGGAAAAAAAAAAAAGAACCCCAAGCTTTTTCATACAACTACATTTGCTATTTTATTTTAACATAAACTTTGTGATATTTTCTAAGATTTAATCTTCCTTAAAGACTTTCACATATTTCTTTGTTTCTTTCTTACTTTTTTATTTGTTTTGTTTTTCGAGACAGGGTTTTTCGGTGTAGCCCTGGCTACCTGAAACTTACCTGCTTGCTCTGTAGACAAGGCTGACCTCTTCCTGAGTGCTGAGATTAAAGGTGTGCACCACATTATGTTTCTATTATGTATACTGTTATAAGCATAGAATACAGGATAAATGTTATGTCACATTATTTTTTAAATGGTATTTTTCTCTCTAGTATGAATTTTCTGATGTGCTCTATGAGTTGAGCACTTAGTAAAAAATTTGTTACATTCCTTACGTGTGTAAGGTCTCTCTCCAGAATGAACTCTCTGATGTATTCTAAGAGTTGAGTCCTGGGGAAAGGATTTGTCACAGACCTCACATTTGTAAGGCTTCTCACCAGTATGGATTCTGTGATGCCTTTTAAGATGTGATAATTCAATAAAGGACTTACCACATTCTTTACATTTGTATAACTCCTCTAGAGAATGAATTCTCTGATGCCTTTTAAGTGATTAATTGTGGGTAAAGGATCTGGCACACTCATTGCATTTGTAAGGCTTCTCTCCACTGGGAAGTCTGTAATGGTTTTTAAGCTGATGAAAGACCTTGCCACATTCAAGACATGTATAGTGTTCCTCCGAAGCATGGATTTTCTGATGTCTCCTGAAACTCGAACATTGGGCAAAGGATTTGTCACATTTCTCACATTTGTAAGGCTTCTCTCCAGTATGCAATTTCTGATGGCTATGTAATGCTGACAACTGAGGAAATGACTTTCCACATTCTTTGCATTTGTAAGGTTTCTCCCCAGTATGAAGTCTTTGATGCGTTTTAAGACTTGAACACTGATTAAAGGATTTGTCACAGACCTCACATTTGTAAGGCTTCTCACCAGTATGGATTCTGTGATGCCTTTTAAGATGTGCTAACTGAATATAGGACTTACCACACTCTTTACATTTGTATAATTTCTCTAAAGAGTGAATTTTCTGATGCCTTCTCAAAGATAAATAGTGGGTAAAGGATCTGCCACAGGAATTACATTTGTAAGGCTTCTCTCCAGTATGGAGTGTTTGATGTGTTTTTAGATTTGTATATGGGGTGGAAGATTTGTCAGAAATGTTGCACTCGTAGCGCTTCTCTCCAGTATGGATTCTCTGCTGTACACTGAAGCATTTCCCACATTTCTCACACTGGTGTGGTTTCTCTTTCATGTAGACTCCATGTTGCAAAAGACTGTATATGGAGTTGAAATAGTCATCACATTCTCCCTCCCTGAGCTCTTTCTTTGTAGTGTGGAGACTCTGATCTTGAGTAATGTTAGAACACAAATTTAAATATTTCTCAAAGTCTTTAGATTTGCAAGGTTCTTCCCCAGTGTGCATGCTTTCATGTCTTTCTAGGTTGAATGAGTCAACAGAGACGTCTGTATGATTACAGCACCTGTAGTTATTGAAGTTTTCTGTAGTTTCACTTGTTCTATAAAGTGCACATGTGGAGGGGTCATGAAGCACTTTACCAAGTTCATTACACTGACAAGACTGCTTTTCATTCTTCTCATGTTGAGGGACAGGGTCACATATGCAATAGTTCTCTGAAATGAGTACAAGTCATATTAATAGGGCTTGTTCCAAGATTAAATATTTGATAAATGACTGTCTCTCTAAGTTCTCTCTTAAGTCAACCAGCAACTATTTAAAACAGAGCTCTCAGAAGTTCACAAT